TCAAAACCAATTATTCAAACAATTTTTATATTCCAGAAAAAAAGATTGTCCTTTCAAATTGTTATTTAGAATAATATAAAATAATAACAATAATTGAAATTTCTCAATAAATTATGAAATAATTGTTTTCTGAGCTGAAATTGTGAGCAAAAAACAAAGTGCTTCTGGAAACTGAAAGAGAAAAGATACAAAGGAATATGGCGTATGTACTAGGTGGTGTGAAATATAACCTCCTGCTACAGCAAAAAAGGTTATAGTACCTTGTAGTCCATTCATATTTAGGCAGACATGCCAAATTTACGTGTGATGCTGGCCTTAATTTTGTTTTGACAGCTAATTGTTGTTGACGTGTTTGGCATTATGTTGACTGCGGACAAAAGCATCCGTGACTAAATTCAATGAGTTGGGGTTCCAATTTCTGCCGAACTATTATCTCTTCCACCACCTAGCATGTGTACCTTTCGACGACAATTACGCCTCACATTTTGGCTAAACTAAGTGCTTGTAGTAACTAAAAATCAAAGCATACATGGTATATTAGCTTTGATCCGGCGTAAGTGAGTACCAGATGGAGAATACTAAATAGACCCATTAAAATGTTGACAGATATGATCAGAGTGATGAGACCAGTTGTTATAACCATGTCGGTCTGTCCGATCGGACAACTGTGCAATAGAAACATTGTCACCGAAAATCCTCGAAATCGATCAACTCCTTCAAAAAGCCCCCTTCAACAATTTTTTTAGATATGAGTATTAATATTTAATCTTATCCTTTTCTGTCGAGGTAACGAAATTACCTAGGTACTGAAATTTAACATGGGTAGGCATATTTTAAGCCTGGAATTCATTGAAGATGAAGAAAAAGTGCAAAAAGCCGTATTTTAAGAAGTTTTCGAGACTAAAAAATAGCCCTTTAATTTGTAAGATAACATTTTCATTCAGCTTTTTTTGTTGTCCAGGCATATTTTCCATAATTAGGTTCAAATATTTATGATTTAATAAACAAATTACTAAAACTTTTTAATTTTTTTGTGCATTTCGATGTGAATATTTTTCTTTTTACTTTATCAAATGGCAAATGTAATTTTACATGGACGAAAAAAGCAGTGCTGCCAAATTTTTTTCAAACATTGTAACCAGTTCGCCAGAATACCAAATTCAATTTCGGGTGTTAAAGAAAAGTAACAAAATTTATTTTACCGGTAACAGTGAGAATAGGCCTGTAAACGGAAATACCCTAAATTTGATATGGTCATGAACGGTGTATAGAAGCTCTTATTTCTTTCTAAGTATGTAAGGGAATGCAAATTGGTACATACATATATTCGAATGCTGTTCAAAATCTGCACATTTTCTAAGACATTAAAAACTGCAGTACTTTAAATTCGTATTATTTATTTATTTAAATATAGAAAAAAATATTTTTATTTCATTGCAACAAATATTCTCTTTTTTTAAACTACAAATAGTCCACGTGAAGCAACTTAAAAAAAAACACTATAATTAAAATTAGAAAAACTAAATCAAGTGCGAAACGCAAAATAATACTGCCAATTGTCGAAATTGCAATTCGATTAAATATGTACACGTATGTATGTATGTGTGTATGTAGACGGTCTCGCATGCATACATTTATGCATGCTACAAATACGCTTGTACGTGTATGTGTTCAATACAATTCGCTCGATTTCAAAATGCCTCTTCGCATTCCAATGCATTCAGATCGACCCAAATCTTCTCGAATTCGCCACAGCTGACTAATAACCCATTTTACATTTACTTTTAGTTAATTGTCTATCACATTTAACACAAAAGGCGCACATGTATGTATGGGTACTTACATGCATACGTGTACATACATATATGCATACATTTATTTATATAAAATTACAGGTGATTACAGTCACTGGGTTTATGCTAATGTAAAGTACTCGTTGGTTCTTTCAGTGAATGATTCTTTTTTCGTCTTGGCTTTTTTGTTGTTTTTTTTTTTAATTTTTTTGCTTTGTTTTTCTCATCGATTGATATTCATGCCAAAACTAATTGCTAAAGCCAAAAAAATCCATTGAGCTCAGTGACTTAAATTTGTACATATTAAAAAGCAACAATAACAGCAACAAAGGATTTATTTTTAGGCATTAAATAAATAGGGGAAATAGTGCTGCCTTTGCGTTAAACAAAAAATAAACATATTAAATTTAAAATTAATTACAGTTAATTAACCAAAAAAAAAGACTTTTAGCAAACGTGGAATTTTTGGGTTCTGAATTTAAAAAAAAAAAATGAACTTGAGTTTTCTAAATGCATGGACACGTACATACATACATAATTATTAATAAATTTATTTCATTGAAAGTTAAAAGTAAAAATTGGGAAACTATTTTTTAATTACTTTAATTATTATTATTTTTTAATTAATAAACTTATGTCTGCGAATTCAAGTTGTTCAAAAGTATTTTAACTTTCCAAAAGAGGTGACCGGAAGTTAGTTCTTTCCTTTCTGACTAATTTATTACCCACAATCGTTTTTAACAAGAAGTTGAAAATTCTGCTGGAACTAGACTAGACTCTACGAAAGTCGTGGCGGAAAAGTATAGCTTGTCATTAGTTCCAACGATAGTTGGAAAAAACATTGAACGAAAGCGACAGGAAGGGCACTTTGTAGCCGCTGAAGCGATTTTCGGCCGAGCTCTTTCTCCGAATTTTGGTATGCGTCTAGATGTTTTATCAAAAAATGGAGGGATCTAAAATTTATTCTATGCTTAGAGGCAGCATGATTTTTATACTTTAAGCTTTTATTTCATGTCAGAAACACATTCGGAGAGCTTGACATTCCCTAATGATGGATGACCGCAATTTTCTATAATTTTGGATGTTTTCCGTACCAGGACTCGAACAACTCGACGAGTTCGGACCAATGGGAAAGAGGGCTTAGATGAGTAGGTTTTAGGAGTCATGCAAAGAGGTGTTTAAAGTCATGCGGGATCGCACTGAATGCAGGAGATACGTTGAGTTTGCCGTGTCGAGTCTGGATATGTGGTAATTAAGTCCACAGCAATAACCAGATCTTAAATATAATATATAATTGGCGCTGTGTATCCGCTGGCGCGATTTTCGGCCGTGCTCCTCCTCTAATTTGTGGTTTTGCGTCTTGATGTTTTTCCAGCAAAATGGGGGGACCTACAGTTTATACTAAGCCGCCTCCGAGCAGCTGATGGTTTTTTTATAAGGAGCTTTTTATTTCATGTCAGAAATACCCTCGGGGAGGTTGACATTTCCTACCGAGGGGCGGCCGCAATTAGAAAATTCAACTTAAATCTTTAATTTAAATTAATTTTCTATAACATTTGGATGTTGCTCATACCACCCGGCTACCGCGGCGGCCGAAAGTGGCAATATTACTTCGGTCTCTCAAAGCAGCCTAGTTCTTTTTGGTGCTTGGATTCCGAGAACGCATCATTGCCTGAAAGAGAGTTTCTAAAGGCGTTGACGGACTCTAGGTGACGTTTAAAGTCTTTCGGTATGCCCCATAATTTTTTCCTGATGTGCTTGTGTGGAAATTCAGCCTCAAGTAAATGTGCGTAGAAATGCTCTCGACTGTGTTCTGTCATGCTGTAGCTTCTTCATCTGCGTCTACCTAGTCGCCAGCAACCAAATCGGAGCAACGTAATTTACGACCGACCCGCCAATATAGAGGATTGTACTTTTGTGGTAATTACAGTCGTATTCGGAATACTGTAGCTGCCGTGCAACGAAGATATAGGGAAAGTCGGTGCGATAGGAGCTTAATAACATGATCACAGACCAATATCGAGCAGTCACCGGCATATGAGTTCAATGAAACGCCCACTGATGTAGGAGGAAATGTAAAAAAAAAAGAAAAGCTCACTGTCCTGCAAATTCCCTTTTTTAATCATACGCAACTACGAAGTTTGACCTCGAAGCTCCACCGTTGAGTGTTGACCACTCTGGTAGCCCTCTTCAACGCGGCGATAATGAGAAATTGTAGCACCGAATGGTTGACGGGATTAAAGGCTTTTGAAAGATCTACTCGTATAGCTAGCAGAACCGTTCGCGCCTAGGGCGGTTTTTGATAAGGCCTTGGATTATCTATCATAGGTGTGGTTGTGGTTCTGTGGTGCTCTGATATGCAGTGTGGAAAAAATTACTGTTAGAGTCTTTGGCGAATTCATATGAATATTTCGCCCTGTGTACACAAAAATTTCAAAAATAAACATTTTTAAATCAAAAAAAAACTTTTACTGTTGCATCAGTGAATTCTAATTGCCACATTTCTTCGTTGCATTTCCGTTGATATTTAGCACTCCATAAAACTGTTTTTGTTACCAAAATATAATAAACGGAGAATTATATATTAGCTAATGGCTGATATACTTTATAAGTATGTATGATATTAAAAAAAATATATAATAGTTTGATATGTTCTTACCCATACATATATGCATATATAAAAACAGTTAAATGTACGTTTTTATACAATAAATTTTATATAGTAAATAACATATAACATGCATATATACATAAATATGCATATGTGGATATATGTATGTATTTACGTTTATTATCAAATTATTAGGGACTTTGCACTTCTTCTTCTTCTTTTTAAGAAAGCTTTCGAAAATTTTCAAACAATAAAATAAAACATAAAACAAACAGAATACGGCATACATTGTATACATTGTACATACACTATAAATATGTATGTACATACATATATGTTCATATTTCATTTGCAGATTTGTTATGAAACTTCTTCTGCTGACGCGACTTTTAGACTCAATGGATAAACAGACTGATTGGCCTATGTAGTGCCTGTACACACTTGTACATAAACATGTGTATATATATATATATATGTAGTTATCACACATATCACACGCGCAACCGAATCCTTATTTACATTTATTTTTAGTTAATTCTATCATGTTTTTTTTTATTTTTTTTTTTTGCACTCACAACACTTTCTTACTCACTCACCTTCTTGGGCACCGGAATCGGAGGCGATAACGGTAACGGTGTATAATTATTCACATTCGGTGGATCATCTATAAAATGTACATGCTTTTTGACACTACTACGACGTCTGGAACTGGAGATGAGTGAACTTTTCCTGCGACCACCGGCGTAACGTTGAAATATCTCCTCATCATGTACGTAGTCCGGCACGCGCCAAAATGCAGGACGTTGATATGTTGTGCTCATTTCACTAACGACTGGTCAAGAAACTGACTAGTCGTCTCACCTTCATTCAAAAGCGACCGACACAGTGGCAACGAAATGAAATTTTATAAACAAAATTTCATCGTTTTCTACTCAGTGTGAGCGAATGTTTGAGGCAACCAAAAAAAACAAAAACAAAAATCAACAATTGAGAAATTGGAAAAGATCGCGCAAAAGCAGAAAAACTATGAATATATATTTGTATTAAACAAATTATAAATGTACATATGTACATATGTGTATTCATGTATAGTTTTATAAAAACGAAAATTTCAGAAAAATCTAAAATATTTCTTATAGCTATTTTACAGTAATGTGTTTGCTATATTTCTATATGTTTGTGTGTATAACATTTAAGGCTGTATTATTGCTAATAAATATATTTCTGCTGAGTATTTGACCAGAACAAAGTGAGCGAAATCATCGTGTACTAGTATGATCGATCGATTTAGCCGTCTCATTGAAAAGTTCTTTGAAAAAACGAAGAGCAAAATGTAACATTGATCCAGCAGCTGCTCACTCAACTCGCTATATACATACAAAGAGATGTGCGTTAATTAAGCTACTTTCAAGTGAAAAACTGTGTATACCGCCCACGCTGCTGCCTCTTTCCTAGTTTCTACAATAAGTTTGCACACTTTATATGAAAGTCTTTACTTGCCAATGACCTTTGTTATTGGTACCCATAAGCCATATGGCTTCAGATTTCTTGAATTCTTTTTAGTTTGATACTTGAAATTATTGGTACTACTCTACTTAGCGTCTTTCGAATTGAATAAAACATTATTTTAAATATTTTTTTTTTTTCATTTATTTAATAGATAAATATATTTATGGATTGATATATTTGGGAAGAGGCTAATAGAGAAACCAGAAAACCGTTAGAATACTATTAAGCAAGCATTAAACATTTAATATCGCTTTTTAAATAACATTTTTTCTAATTGCTTTTATTGCAAAGACTTTAGTATCACCTTAGCAGCCGCTATAATTAAATCGTTATTTACAAGCGACCACACTTAATGGCCCGCGGGCTACTTTTTGAATTTCTGTAGCTGTGGTGCTGATAACTTTACCTTTCCAGGTATATTTCTAGCCAGCGATTCTTCTTTAATGCTTTTAAGTAAATCCTTTTCGCGTGGGCCACAATTTTTATCTTTGGAGAACATAGTTAGCGCAGTTTTGGCCGCTCGGCCACGTTTGCCAGTGCCAGGAGTCAATTTTACTCGGTATCTGAAATAAAGTAATAGAAATATAGATATATATAGTTAGGAAATTACAGACAGATTTCTCACTTGTAATTCTGCAATGCTTGATAAGGCGCTACCACAGGTATAACAAACAGTAACTCATCGCCTTCCAAAGGCTGACCAGTGAGTGCGTCTAACATGGCCACATCGGCGCCAGTTGGCATATCATCACCATCATCCATGTCAGCAGCTAGGTTAGCAGCTTCCTCTTTACGCTCATAATTTCTCTTTTCCCTTTGCGTGTTTTGCACTCTCGCTTCGTCTTCGGCCTTTTTGTCGGCTAAATCAATTTTATCTTTACCCGCAGATTTCAATAGCATCATACGTAATTCTCGCTCTTCCTCATCTTGATCCTTGTATTTGGCTTTCATTTTCTTTAGCTTGCCACGTTGACCACGTTTCATACCCGTAGAATTCTTGGCCTCTTTTTCAGCCGCATTCTGTTGTTGCTGCCTCAACTCTTGTTGGGTTTTACGTTCTTTCTCCTCTTTGCGTTTTTTGGCATTTTGCTGTTGCTTTTTACGCGCTGGTGCCGCTGGTATAATAGTTGCTTCCTCCTCTTCCTCGAAATCGATTTTTTTATCCTTTTGTTTTGTTGCCACATTAGCTTCAGTAACTGAATCTGTGCGTACCGTTATACGGCCAGTATCGTGTTCGATTTTTACTTGCGTGTCTGGAAAGTTGGTGCCGCTATCGGATGCGTCTGTATCTTCATCATCTTCGTCTACTTTTTCCAATGGCTTAGTGTTGGACTCGTCTTTGGATTTCTCACTTGTTTCAGCATCTTCATCTAAGTCGATTTCCACGTCTTCACCTATACCCAACTGCTTCATGCGTTGCTCTTGCTCTTCCAATTCCTGCTGCTCTTCTTCGAATGTGCGCAATTTGCGCTCACCGCGATGCCGTTCTACGAAACTATCTTCTAATTTAAAAAGCAGACTTAAACCCATTATCAAATGACAGGATGGTAGGAAGTTTTTTTTGCCACGTATCATGAAACTACCCGTTCCAAGGTATTCACCGGAAGGTGCTGTCTTAGTCACTTGATCACTACGCACCCAGTAGGCGTTTGTCACAACTTTGGCATCCCACGCCACACTGTATGATATAGCCATGGTACCAGCTTCTAATAACGTTTTAGGTGGTACCTCGCCGCCTGCGGGATTTCTTATTACGACACTTGAGGCACCTTGAATTTCAGCGTGTACGTAAATATCTGTAGCGCGCATGTATCTTTAAATTGATTTAATAAATATAAATATAATTAAACTAACAAAGTATTTTAAAGCAATATAAGCCTATTTACCGTTTGACAATCAATTCATTTTGCTGCGCATCTCTGCCACCAATAACTAAATAATTTTCTGAGCTAATAAACCAATAAAATTTTTCGAACCAATAGACTTTTCGAGCTTTTGATATTGTTGATATTATACGGACTTCTTTTAGAGTTTGTTGCGTCTTTCGTTCAGCAGATTTCAAAGCTTTTTGTGAAGCATCAATGGTTTTTTGTTCTTTCTTTGCAGCATAGCGTTTCAAGTCGTAAAACTTTCGTGCATTCGCCCATGCTGATAACGCCAAATCTACATCGACAACCATTGTTGGCAAGCCATCCGAAGCATCATTACTATTAGATTCATCGGAGTCATCATCATGAAGGTTTCTGTACGGATCTGAGAGTAGTAATGATATATGATTGATTTCTAATTTTAATTTTTTTATTGATCCAGCAATTGGATCATCATCAGCTTGAGCCTCTTTCACCACCTTTTCTATATCTTCCCATGACATTTGGGATGCAATAAGTGATTGTACGGCTGATATGGCGTGATCGACCAACTCTTGATTGCATGTTATCAATTCAGCTTTTTGTTTATCGACTTCTTGCGATTTTGTTAGGCTTTCAATACGCTTAGCATGATCATTTTTTACATTTGACAACTTTTTTAAAGCATCGCGCTCTTGTTGTAGAGTTTTTAGATCGATTTTCTGTGCTTCCATTGTAGAATAAAATTCATCTACAGCCAGCATAAAGGTGCCAAATTCTTTTTTTGGTTGCCCTTCAAATTGTGCAAATAAATAAGGATGATACTCAATATTTTGATAAAAATCCTCTTTCGACTCATCTTCAGCACTAGGTTTTTCTTCACGTTTTTGTATAATATAACCACGCGACACAGCATTCCGTCCATCGCTGAATATCATGTTAGCTTCCTAAAAAAAAAAACAATATAAATTAAACTTTTTTCATAAAATTGTTACTTATTTCACCTGTATAGCTTGTACAAGAACAGGCAAATCAGTTGAAATATCAAAGTTCCGAGTATTTGTTGTTTTGATTTCCTTTTTCTTTTGTTTCTTAGATTTCTTTCCAGTGCCATTACCAGTTTGTTGAGTTTCTGGTTCAGCTGGAGTAGGTTCTTCTTTCTTTTCGATCACGCAATTATGCAGTTTATATTTATATAGTACGTGATCAATCACTGCAGGACCAAAATCTACTTTTGGCATTAGCAACCGGCGCAAATTGTCTCCAGGCCTAGCCGACTCTATCAAGTTCCGTACATCATTTGATGTTAATTCATTAGATTGTTCTTTTGCACGATTGGATGGATATTTTTCACGTACAGCAAAACGCACTTCTTCACCTTCATAGTGGGGACGTAAAATGTATAGGATTGTAAGTTCATTATCAGTGAGTATAATGTTTCCTCTATCATATAGTTCAACGATTACGTGATGTGCAGCTTCGCCTGTGCCGAACTGTAAATTTATTATACGATCCATTCCAAGTTGTTCCAATTTTTCTAATCGTTTGTTTTTCAGATGCTTCCTCAGCTTCATGCTGAAGCCAGAAGGCGCCATATTTTTTGGCCATTCGAAGACGGTTGTATGGAAACGTATACCCGATTCTATTAAAAGTACTGTTTTACTTTCACCGCCTTGAAATCGTATCAAATATGTTTTATTGTCGATATCATAAATTTGATTAACGCGTTGTCCAACCAAACTGAAATAACAAAATCATTATGCCAATGTATGATGCATCATTCGTCAATTCCAAACTTACCACTGCAATTCAGTGACACCGCAAATAATGTCATAGGTATTAAAGCGTGTTTTCATTGTTGTAGTTTTATGTTTCCTAGCCAATAAATAAATAAATAAATTTTTTCCACAAATAGCAAAAATAAATTCCTTTATTCTTTGTAAATATCAATTGACACGTTTCGAGGTGTCACCTTTTGCACAGCTGTTATCGTGCAATGTGGTGCTGTCAGATTTTCACATTAACACTGTTACGATTTTGCTTAATCAACCTCGATGATGTTCTGAATCCTTCGCGGATGATCTCTGGATTGTTTAATAAAAAAAATCGCCAACTTAATTTGCAGTTTCTTTCGTTATGAAGAACTTATCTAATGTCCTTCATTTACTCAGTAATTCACAATTCAATTACAATGCACTTTACTAGTTACAATCACTTGCATAAACTTTCACGATTTACTTTACTTAAATGTAATCTCCAATGCGTTTACTTTAAGACTCTATACTGATGTTGTCGCCAAGGAGTTCACTTTGTAATTGACTCTCTTACCGATACCGTTTTCTTCGACAATTATACCGGGATCTAGAGGAGTTCTCTATCGTATTATAACGATTTCCTTAATCTTTCGTAATCCAATAAAGGTCACCTAAAGCTTCTTTATTCGAAAGGAATTTTCTCCATAGTTTCATTAGTAACAGATAATCTGCAATTACCTCGTATAGTTCACAATTTCATTGACAGCAGTTTTATCATTAACGATGGATTAATGATATTTCACCTGCATCAGTTTATATAACCGATGACTCAGATTTTTATCCAGGACAAGGACTTTGGCAACAACATAAATGGCAAGAAAAACAACCAAATATTGAAAAATTCAAATTTTATTCAAAATCAAAAAGTGAAAAATGGATTGCTGTAATTTATTTTCCTTTTTTAATGTGGCAACTGCGTCTGTCAACATTTCTTTGTTCTGATTTCGCTGAAATCCCTTTTTGTTTTGTTTTCATCATTCGTCAGCTGCGACGTAGGATACGGTACGCAAAAAATTGTAAAAATTAAATTTCAAGCAAATTACCGTAAACAACTCCTCCCCCCAATATAAAATATAAGTGAAAGTGAAAGTTTTATTTTATGAAATTATCAGACATAAGCTCTTAATGTCTATGTTTAAAGCACGGTGAGTACAGCTTTAGTAAAGTCAACCAAAAATGATTAATTACTCAAAATTTATCATTAAAGTGTAAAAGAGTTCGAAGATGCGCTGGAAAGCAACGAGATCGACATATATAAGCTAAGAAATCTTTGTTTTCATGGTAAGGAAGATTAAATAGAAATTAGTCTAAAAAATTGAAATACGAATTTTTGAAATTACAGGTATACCCGATGTGGGCAGTTTTAGAGCCACATGCTGGAAAATCTTGCTTGGTTATTTGGGACCGAAACGGTGTACATGGACGGAGACGCTTAGCAAAAAACGTGCATTGTATCGACAATTTGTAGAAGAATTGGTGTTACCCCCTGGGCTAAATGATGGTGACAATCAAGGTGATGCGAATACCGGCCTCAGCGATCATCCCCTAAGTGAAGGTCCTGAAAGCGCCTGGAATACTTTCTTTCAAGACAATGAATTTTTATTACAAATTGATAAAGATGTACGGCGTCTGTGTCCAGACATATCGTTTTTTCAACAAGCCACAGAATATCCTTGTGACATTGTTGTGCATAGTAAAGGTGAACGGAGACTTCATCAACGAGTAGTGCCTACTGTACTGAGCTCGGCAAATGTCGAACGCAAGGGTTTGGGAATTACAAAGGTAAGAGCTTTTTGAAAAAAAATAACAAAAATACAATGAATGTCTGCATATATTTTTTTCACTATGCTATCCATTCCACATCAAAGTAGCAGGTAATTGCAAACAAGGAATGACTAATAAATAATTTCTCTATATCTGTATTACATTCAAGTAATAATAATATTTCTGTATGTAGATAAATCTCATAACAAAGCGTTCGAATGAAAATTACATGGCAATGGAAGAAGGACTGGAAGCACATTGGGAAGTTGTGCAACGCATTCTGTTCCTCTATGCGAAATTGAATCCTGGCCAAGGATATGTTCAAGGCATGAATGAAATTGTCGGTCCAATATATTATATTATGGCCTCTGATCCGGATTTGGAATACAGAAGTAAGTGTTTTTTTATTTTAATGCTTCGTAAAATTTTGCATTATTGGTTTCTTCAAAAATTTTACAGAATACGCTGAGGCAGATTGCTTTTTCTGCTTCACTGCATTGATGAGCGAAATCCGCGACTTTTTCATCAAGACCCTCGATGACTCAGAAGGTGGCATTAAATTTATGATGGCAAAGTTGGCGAATATGTTAAAAGAAAAAGATGCAGAGATATATGATAAACTAAAAGAACAAGAACTTTATCCGCAATATTACAGTTTTAGGTAAAGAATTTTTTTTTTAATTATTAACTATTTTGAAAACTCGGTATATTGGAGATCTAATATTCCAAAATTTATGTTATAGATGGATAACACTGCTGTTATCACAGGAATTCCCTTTACCTGACGTGGTACGCATTTGGGATTCGATTTTCTCTGATGAAAATAGATTTGAGTTCTTGATAAGAATATGCTGCTCAATGATTTTGTAAGTTTTCGAATATACATACACATGCACTTATAATATGCTAATTGCAATTTTTTATCATTAATTTAATTTTACCATTTATGTTTTAAATCGCATATTAAATTTGTTTTAATTTCAGAATTCAGCGAGATCTTATACTGCATAATGACTTTGCCTCAAACGTAAAGTTATTACAAAACTATCCGCCTATTGATATTAACATAGTATTGTCGCACGCTGTATCCTTACGAGGATAGTATAGACTGTTGTTATTTTTGTCAAAAAATAATTGTACACATCCCAAGCCAATTTTTACACGCCCTTCTCAAAACGGCACACAACTAGTTGTAATTAAAAAGAAACATATACACTATTATATTAGCTTCTAAGTATTATGATTTAACTTCTATATACTCATTTTTATAGTAACAATACTACTATAATCAAGAACGGAATCCAATATTTTACTCGGAAAGTTCATTTACAGCAATAAATATTTTCTCTTAAATAACATTTTTTACCCAATAAAAATTCATTAAAATTTATATTTTATTAACAGTGTGTTGTTTGGAAATGGTGATTTAGCAACTATAAATTTTTTGAAGTAGAACAAAGGCAACAATGCGTTATGGAGGTGGGAAAAGTTACACTCAATGAATGTTGAGAAAGTGGCAAACCTTGGCCCGATAAAAATAGTGGTAATTCGTGTATACGGACCAGACTGTCGGGGGGACTTTTGGATGTTAATCGCCTTTTATAACCGGCATGCCTTACCGCAGGGGTCGCTGCCTGTCATAGTTCCCGCGACAGTCTGGTCTTTATACCGGAACGACCCGGATTTTTATCTGGCCAAGGACTGTCACTCCCGCAACATTCCCAAAAAAGTACTTTGGGGAATATTTTTGCGGTTACAACAACAATAACAACCCGCAGCGAGTGAGAGGAGCGAAGCGTCTAGCGCTGCCTTCTTCCAATCAAATCGTCATGTGGTCTTCTCTCCGCATCCTATATAATTAGTAATATCTCGCCTCAGACTAATTCTACCTGTTGACCTAAACGAGATTAGATCGGCGAAAGGTTGACAGCCTTTGGCCAGATAAAATCCGGGTCTACTCCGTCGTGTAGAACCGGCAGTCGCGGAAGTGACTTTCTCGCAGTCAAATCGCCACCCACAGCAGATGAAGAGCTCGAGCTGCCCTGAGAGTACCTCGTAATACTGACGCAACTTAGGTCTGTATATTGCAGCAGGTTGAACACCTAACTATCCAAACTCGACCCCGACATACGATGCATACGAGCATGTAACAAGTCCCCGCACGACACTAACCACCTCTTCACATGCCCCCTAAAACCGGCACAACTAACCCCCTCTACCCCTGTTCCGAACCCGTCAAAACAGCTTATTCCCTAGACCTCCCTTAAGATGACCTCATTGACCTACGACTAACTAGTCAGTCTCTAAGCGGGTTTGGAACAACTATTATAGCGAAAGCAATAGTAATACCTCGCGACTCGAGATCCGATTATTCCTCAAAGATCACTAATCTGTGACCAATCATTTTATCATGTGCAACACGTGGAAACAGGGATTAGTACAACCGCAAAAGCAGTGCCATTGGCTATCAAACCACCAAAGTTTCTAAATACGATTTACGGAGCTCTGCCCCATCTCTATTTATTCACTAAAATATAATATATTACAAGCAGACGTATTTAACCGTTAATTTGCATTTGCCATTTACGAATTACAGTACGAATACGCGTTACGCTACACACATCAATTTTTAAAGAAACAAATCACTCATCCGTTCTACGCTCGTCTTCAACGTCTAGTCTTATTGTCATTTATTTTTTGACATTTAATTTTGGCGCTACATCTTTGCAGATAGTTTGTGCTATGAACTCGATCAATGTGCGTGTGGGTCTACCAGCCATGCCCTTGCGTATATACTCAAAATGTTTACCATTGGTGACCATCACGTTGGTAGCATCCTAAACATAGAAGAAACCAATTGAAAACAATAAAAAATTTGTTCCTGGATATGAAGTAAATTTTTCCTGAATAAAAGATATTTACAATATGCATCCACTGTCCACATGGTACGAACTCCCTCAAGAAAGCGGCTGCTTTACACGGACGGCCGCCACGCCCTTTGCCGTAATTTTGCACATCGCTAGCATCACCGGATGTTACCTGGTTAGAATAGAAGTACCATAATGGGAAACGCCAGACTCTGTCACCAGTGTGCATGCTGGCATGTTTAATCTGTTGCCAGAGAATCTCGGAATTAGTGAAGACACCACATGCAGCTTCGTCGAGAGCGTTCCTCATCATTCCTGATGTGCAACCAATATCGACAATGAATTTGGGACAAAAGTTTTGTGCGTATAAAAGTGCATCAGCCAACACGAGCACATCCTCGTGATCAGTGCCTTGAACTTCAATATGCTTCCCGTTCATAGCTTTTGTAACGTCACCGGGTCGGAAGGAATTACAGCCCATTACATTCTCGCAAAGTGGTATTAACCCTCGAATATTAACCTTAATTTTTTGAATAAAAATACAGAATAAAATATAAACGAATTATAAAAAGCCCACATTGGCTTACCGGCAAACGTAAACCCGCTATGGCTCTACAAGCAGCCACAACCACGGCTGCACCAGTCATATCGCCACGCATATGAACTAATTCCTGCAATTTCTTTAGGCAAAGTCCACCACAGTCATAGGTAATACCTTGTCCCACCAAAACTATAGGTCGTTCCTCTGCTGATGTGCCATAGTAACTCAGCTCTAAGAAGATAGGTGGTTCACACGAAGCCTTGCCCACCGACAAGAATGAATGCATTGATTGGGATTCTGCCCAGCCTTCAACCTTCACCTCCACATTTACACCCGACTTACATAAGACCTCAACAACGGTTTGTGCAAAGGCTGTTGGTGTCAGTAAATTGGAGGGCATTTCTTGTAGTTGACGTGTTAGATTCTGAGCTGCAGCCTTTTGCAAGCCAATACGCCAACCTTCAATATCGCAGACCTCATCCTTGTGGGTGTATAAATCTATTGCCGGCACACCTATACGTCGCTTAGTTTCTTTCAACTCTTGATACGCCCAAATACCTAAGGCAGCACCCTCCGCTGCCGACTCGGCATGACCACAATTTTCAATCTCTATTTTTTCGGTGTCTAAATAACACAACTCCATACACGCTCTTGCCACCGATCGACGTATTGCCTCCTTCTGTTCATCAAGTACCTCATATGAGTTATAGCCCAAACATTCCTTACCTAAACCCACTACGGCTACTGCCGAGTAGTAAGGTACTTTCTCTGGTTCAACAGCAAATAATAAGCGCGCTTCTCCTCTCCTCGGCATGGGGCCAGACATACGCAATACCTCCAACAAACGTCCGGCCGTCTTCTGGACATTGTATCGCCAAGCGGACGGTGTTAAAATACCGGGATCCGATTTATCCTCTTCATCGGCATACACGCCCAAGACTAAACCACGTGATGGTTGATCGGCACATATTTCAATATTTTGCAACTGTAACATTTGATTTAGTGCCGGCGATACATAATTACGGAGCTGCGGTAGGATGCGGGTAACTGATTTGAAAACATTGCCGAAAGATTTAGGACGCAGAAGACCAAACATTATAATCGGCTTGAGTTGGCAGATAAAAAAAATTCTATAAAATATAATCGCGACTTATTTTTATTTAAATTGATTTACATCTATTTTTAAGCAAGAAAATTACATTTAAAAAAATTTTACAGACAAATTTTCTCAATGTATAATCGATTGGAAATATTTCGGTTAACTGGCTAGTGAAGTTTGCTTTTATTCATAAAAGAAGTACATTTGAGAAAGCCAAGTTTCTTCAGCAAATTATACTCGTAGTTGGTCCCGGAAAGAGCTTTCATTTCCAACTCTGAGATGCGAAAAAGTACAGGTTCTGTCTTCTCAATGCCGCCTAACTACGCCGGTCTTACATTTGATCCACTCCGAACCAAAAATATGGAACCAAATGACCAAAGCAGTTATACGTGGATTCGAGTTTTTAACTGAAATCAAATAAAAGAAAATCCAGACACATCTCACGCTGTTCCGACGGGGGTAGTCCAACGAGGGTGTTACATTGCTAAAAATAATGGGAAGCTCATAAATTTTGAAGCATTTGGAAGGGTATAGAATTTAATTTTGACAGAACTATTACGGCTCAGGTCAGGGTCAGGGAAATGACATTCTCCTGCCCCATTAATAGTTGCCCCATTGGTCTTCATGACGAAAAATTGAGCGCATTAAAATTATTGGTTCTGGATGGCTCCCTTTGCCATTTAACGCACTGATAAAATCTAACGACGACCAGGATAGCCGAGTGGTTAGCATTGCGTACTGCCATTCGGAAAGTAAGAGTTCAAACATCCAGAAGTCATTAATTGCGTTCGCCCGTCGGCAGGAAATGTCAGTTCCTCCGAGTGTACCTACGACAGAAAATAAAGACTCCTCATACAAAAACCATCAGCCATTCGGAGGCAGCTTAGTATATACTGTAGATCCCTCCACTTGTTGGAAAAACATTAAGACGCAAGGCATTGTTAGCATCACACCCCAAAATTTTTAAAAGGTGCTAGCAGAGCTTCACCTCCGACCTTCACCGAAGATGGAGTCGACACTATAACACCTATAACTTATTAATTATAACTCACATTCGAGCTCCACTAATCAAGGTGTAAAAAGAAAGAGTCGTCAATCCCCATCGCTTCAAATTTCTTACAAGGAACTCACAGCTCTTCAGACTCTACGAAAAATTTCCCAATAGAAACAAATATCTCGACGTAACGACCTTCATAGTTTTCCGGGCATGGTCATAAATCAATTATGACGAAGACTCTCGTCGTCTTAGTTTTTTATTCTTCATTTTGGCTCCTGTTTGATACTATAGGGATCACAAAATCACACTTTTTACCTTTTCCAGAGAATACTGGGTTCGATCCCAAGGCAAACCAAAGTCTAAAAAAACATTGAAAGATAACCGCGCCACTTTAGGAGCTCAAGAATTTATTATCGCTATTACCACTGTAATTGAGTGGGTAGCAGTGCGTACTATTCTGCAGACGGTCGTATGTTCGAGTGCTAGCAACACAAATATCCAAACTTATAGCAAATAAAGTAAATTTTTCTAACTGGGGTCACGCGCTAGCAGGTAATGTCAACCTCTCCGAGTGCATTTCTGAAACTGGATAAGGCTTCTTATCCAAACTCATCAGCCGTTCGGAGGCGACTTAGAACATACTGTAAGTCTCTCCGTTTGTTGGAAGATCACATTAAGACGAATTAATTTGAGGTTAACTACAGCAGTTATGCAACACGAATTATATTGAACAGTCTGGAACGACTGGAATTTTCATTTGGCTGAAGACTGTTATATTAAAAGAACTCTTTTGTAGTGATTTAATGGAGGAAACACTCCTCCAACGTACTTAATAGTAGTGAAAATGAAGAATCCGGATATGGTGAACCCGAAACCCCAATAGATGACAATGGAAAAGACGTTCCATTACCTGAACATGAAGAATTTCGAATAGCAATCGCCCGCTTAAAAAACAACAAAGCGGCGGGGGCTGAGGGCCTGCGGGCAGAACTATTCAAATGTGGTGGTGAAGAGCTGACAAGGTGCAGGCATCAGCTACTTTGCAGAATATGGTCGGATGAATGCTTGCCCTTAAAAAAGGGGACCCCACAGTCTGCGCCAATTACCGTGGAATAAGCCTCCTTAATACCACCTATAAGATCCTGTCGAGCGTATTATGTGAAAGACTGAAGCCCACCGTCAACAAATTGATTGGACCTTATCAGTTTGGCTTCAGACCTGGCAAGTCAACCATTGAACAAATATTCACCATGCGCCAAATCTTGGAAAAGACCCTTGTAAAGAGGATCGACACCCACCACCTCTTCGTTGATTTTAAAGCCGCTTCGACAGCACGAACTACGCCGCTATGCCTAAATTTATAAGGCTGTGTAAGCTGACGCTAGACAACACCAGCAGCGCAGTCAGAATTGGGAAGGACCTCTCCGAGCCGTTCGATACCAAACGAGATTTCAGACAGGGTAACTCTTTGTCGTGTGATTTCTTCACTTTGATGCTGGAGAGAATAATAAGAGCTGCAGAGCTGAATAGAGAGTGTACAACTACTGGCGTATGCCGCTGATATTGACAGTACCATATCACCAGGCTTGATTAAGAAGCGAATGGGTCTGGTAGTGAGCGAGGGCAACACGAAATATTTCCTGTCATCAAACAAACAGTCATCGCATTGGCGACTCGGCTCCCACGTCACTGTTGACTGTCATAACTTTGAAGTCGTAGATAATCCATCCATCGGAGAACCACTCTTGCCATCAGGTGCTACTTTGGTATGAGTAGGCAAATGAAAAGTAAAGTCTTCCCCGACGAATGAAAATCAAACTCTACAAGTCGCTCATCATACCCGTACTAATGGTGCAGAGTGGTGGACGATAACAACGTCTGATGAGTCGACGTTAGGAGCTTTCGAGAGAAAGGTTTTGTGTAAGATTTATGGTCCTTTTCGCAACAACAGCGAATATCGCAGACGATGGAACGAAGGTCTGCACGAGTTATACGGCGACATTGATATAGTTCAGCGAATCAAGAAGCAGCGACTACACTGGCTAGGTCATGTGGTCCGGATGGATGCGAATACTCCAGCTTTGAAAGTTCTTGATGCAGTACCTGTCGGTGGAAGCAGAGGACAGACCAGGTAGAGAAGGACCTGGCTGTAAGTATAAGTAAAAATACATAGTTTTTTATGTTAAAAAATACATATAGTATTGCAAGATGATTAGTAGTGTTTTTATAAAAAAAAATGCTTTCATTTATAAAATAATTATACGATACTGGCAGCTCATGCAAAGGTTGGAGAGATTTACTCCATTGGAAAGACAAAACTACTTCTTGGGGTTTGCTTTTGGTGCTGTATCTTTGCAGATTGTTTGTGCTATGAACTCGATCAATGTGCGTGTGGGTCTACCAGCCATGCCTTGGCGAATGTATTCAAAATGCTTGCCATTGGTCACCATTACGTTGGTAACATCCTAAATGTTTGAGGAATACAAATATATTATGGCAACTTTTACTTAGTTTCCATGGGCATGTTAACTTACGATATGCATCCACTGTCCGCATGGCACGAACTCTCTTAAGAAGGCTGCTGCTTTGCATGGGCGGCCGCCACGCGCGATACCATAATTTTGCACATCCGTAGCATCACTGCTTGTCACTAACTTGGAGTAGTAATTCCATAAAGGAAAACGCCAGACTCTGTCACCAGTATGCATGCTGGCATGTTTGATCTGTTGCCAGAGAATCTCTGAATTCGTGAAGACACCACAGGCAGCTTCGTCGAGAGCATTACGCATATACCCCGATGTGCAGCCAATATCCACTATGAACTTGGGACAGAAGTTTTGTGCATATAACAGTGCATCGGCCAATACAAGCACATCTTCGTGATTTGTACCCTGAATTTCGATAAACTTGCCATTCATGGTTTTGGTGCAGTCGCCGGGTCGGAATGAATTACAACCGATTACGTTTTCACAAAGTGGTATCAGGCCACGTATATTCACCTGATAGTAGGGTAATAGAAAACATTAGAGCACCGCTGAAACTTTCTGCTATAACTTACCGGTAAACGCAATCCCGCTATAGCTCTACAAGCAGCAACAACCACAGCCGCGCCGGTCATGTCGCCACGCATATGCACTAATTCTTGCAAATCTTTCAAGCATAGACCACCACTGTCATAGGTAATGCCTTGGCCCACCAAAACTATAGGTCGTTCTTCGCCTGATGTGCCATAGTAGCTCAGCTCCAAGAAAATAGGTGGTTCGCAAGAGGCCTTACCCACCGATAAGAACGAGTGCATTGATTGAGATACTGCCCAGCCCTCAACCTTTACTTCAACATTAACACCCGACTTACACAGCACTTCTACCACCGTTTGCGCAAAGGCCGTCGGTGTTAGCATGTTGGAGGGCATTTCTTGTAGTTGTCGTGTTAGATTTTGTGCTGCGGCTTTTTGTAAGCCAATGCGCCAACCTTCAATATCGCAGATTTCATCCTTGTGTGTGTATAAATCTATTGTTGGTATGCCAATACGACTTTTCGGATCCTTCAACTCTTGATATGCCCATATGCCCAATGCAGCGCCCTCAGCTGCTGATTCAGCGTGTCCACAATTTTCAACCTCAATGCTATACGTATCCAGATATGCCAAATCCATGCACGCTTTTGCCACCGACCTACGTATCGCCTCCTTCTGCTCATCAATAACTTCATATGAGTTATAGCCCAAACATTCCTTACCCAAACCAACAACTGCCACTGCCGAGTAGTAGGGTACTTTCTCTGGTTCAATACCGAATAAAATGCGCGTTTCTCCACGCTTCGGTATGGGTCCTGATCGGCGTAGCACGTCTAACATGCGTCCGCCTGTCTTTTGTACGTTGTAACGCCAGGCTGATGGCGTTAAAATGCCAGTATCGTATTTATCCTCTTCATCGGCATATACGCCCAGTATCAGCGCACGTGACGGGGGATCTGCACAGATCTCGGTTTGTTGTAGCTGCATTGCTTGATTTACCATCGGTGAAGAGTATGTACGGAGTTGCGGTATTATTCGGCTGACTGTTTTGGCAACATTGCCAAAGGATTTGGAACGCAGAAGGCTAAACATTGCAAGCAACTTGTTTATGTAGATAAAAGAAAGTCGTATGAAATATATTCGCGAGGTTTTTTTTTTATTTTATTGGATTTATATTTTTTAAGCAATAAAATCGTACGTTTAAAATCCTACAAATAAATTTTCTCTATGTATAGTCGATTGGAAATATTTCATGTCAAGGAATAGTAAAGTGTTACATCAACTCGAAATGGGAAAGCGCTAGTCGTTTGAATATAAGATAGCTAGGATCATTCCGAATATGGGTTCCAAAAGCTTTGTTTCGTGTTCGGACTTAACATCTGAATCCTGAATTGCCATACAAACTACCAAACATACCAATCTTTGACCAAGCTATTGAAATACGGAGGCGAAGAACTGAAATGGGCATCCATCAGCTTCCTTCCGGAATGCGGTCACATGAAAGCACGCCGTACCCTGCGGGTTATGGGCTTAAGAATTTAACCGTGGTTAGGCATATCTGTCGTAAGATACAACTAAAATTCAATAACTCCTGCGACAGTCGGGTCTTTATACCGGAACGACCCGGTTTTTTATCCGACCAAGGACTGTCACTCAAGCAATATTACAACAACAACGACAAGATTGGAACTTAAGTGTTCTATGTCCTTTTTACAAAAAGGTCTTATCGATCTTATCAGTGTGGTTTTAAGCGTGAAAAATTTACAATTGACCTGAAATTCACCATGCTCAAAGTTGGGAAAGACCATTGAAAGTAGGATCCACATACACCACATCTTCATCGCTTTTAAAGCAGCCCTCAATAGCTCGAAATGGAACTGACCATACCCCGCTGTGTCTTAATTTGGTATCCCCTCAAAACCTATACGAGGTGTTACAATTAAGTAATGATACTGATGATATTGCCATGATTTTGGTAACCCTGTAACCTTGAAATTCCCTCTCCCTTCTTCCGGCATCCTTCTCTACTTCATTGATATATTTGATATCGCTCTAGCTTGCTTAGTTCGCCTTCTGTGTCGCCAAGTGACGAGCACGAAAATGGAAAAACGAAATCAAGAGCAACATCACGATAAAAGTTGGCGCCAAATTGGGCGAAACACAATGATTTTCTCAGCGCCCCCCTCGCTCAAAAAAAGCCTTTTTTGATAGCCGTGGAATCATCCACAAAGAATTTTTTCCACCGAGGAAAACTGTAAATCAAGTCTATTATTGCCAAGTACTTGAAAGATTGTGAAAACGAGTCAACAGGGTGCGCCATAATATCGCGCGTTGTCCACAGCGTCCTCAGGGTGTACCAGCATTTGTGTAGGAACAACCTCGTGACTTTTTTTGTTTCCTTGAACAAAATCGGTGGCGAAGTATTGTAGTATTGAGTATATCCAGGCGGCCGCGACGAGGGTATTCGCGGACATCCCAGTCGAAGCGCTGGCATCATAAGTGTATTGTTTTTGGCCAAAACGTCGCGCACAAGCAACGATGTGTGAGCAGGGGCGTTATCGCGGTGCAAAAGCCAATTTTTGTACTTCCACAAATACGGGCGTTTCTGGCGGATTGCTTCGCACAAATTGCGCATAACTTGCAGATAATATTCCTTATCGATCGTTCTACCCTGTGGCAAGAACTCATGATGCACCACGCCTTTGCAATCGAAGAAAACTGTCAGCAAAACTTTCACATTCGACCGAACTTGGCGCGCTTTTTTCGGTCTTGGTTCGTGCGGTGGCTTCCATTGAGATGATTGAGCTTTGGTTTCTCCGTCATAACCATAAACCCACGATTCGTCACCAATTATGACCCACTGGAGGAAATTTGGGTCGTCGTGGAGAGAGTCCAACATCTCTTTAGCTATGTTCATGCGATGCTGTTTTTGGTCGCAATTGAGCAATTTTGGTACGAATTTCTCGGTGACCCGTCTCATGCCCAAATTATTGATAAAAATCGAATGGCACGAGCCAATCGATATGTTTAGGTCCTCAGCAATTTCTCTAACGGTGATTCGAGGATTGGTCAATACCATTTTCTCCACTTCATTAATTTTTTTCGTCTGTTGTTGAAGTGCTCGGGTGTCCGGCACGCTATTAGTCGTTCACAACTTCTCGGCCTTCTGAGAACATTTTGTACCACCGATAAACGTTGCTTCGGTCCAAGGTAGCTTCTCCGTATGCCACAGTCAACATTCGGAATGCATCCGCGCCACTTAATTTCGTTTTTCACACAAAATTTGATACAGGTTCTTTGATCCATTTTTTTAAATAGGTAAAAATTCGAAGACCATCCAAAACACGTGCAAGCAAAGCCGCTGTCAACAATTAAGTGAACATTCAAAATGGCCGAGCTTGTCGGCATAAGTGACAGACATGAGTACCAACATAACGCCAAAAAATCGAAATTCGATTATAAGTAACCCGCGAAAATTCAAAATTCCCGATACTTTTTGAGCACACCTCGTATATGGTGCGGAAGCATGAACAATGACAGCATCTGTCGTGAGTCGTCGTGAAGTTTTCAATGAAATACCCGCCGGTGAAAAGAGAAGAAGAGAAAAAGGAGAAAATGAGAATGACCTGACTTCAGTAGGTATCTCTAGTTGGTGACAAACAGCGAAGAGCTAAAACGAATGTCGAGCTATTATTGATTCGGTTATAATCGAGCAAGCGTTGTCTACGCCAATAAAGAAGAAGCAGAAGCCAGACTTGACAGTCATTCACTTTTCCAACTCGCAGAAAAGCTCTTAGTTAGACTAACGATTCATTTCATAATAAATAATACACTTCAAAACAATTTGGAAATAATTGTTGTCTATATATTTATCATTCTTCTTTTACTAAAAATACAGAGAATATTAGATACTTCATGAATATACATACACATTTAATTTATTTTGGAGTTATATTATAGTTTTGTTTTTCCTTCGTTTGATTTTGATGTAAATATTTCAATGATTTCTCAAAAAGATTTGCACGAAAAAAACAGTTTTCCTCTCTACAACTATTATTAGAATTGTTTATTTATGTACTTTAGTTAATTTTTTTTAATTTTTATATTTTGTTATTTATGTATTAAAAAAGCATTTATGATAAAATTTTGCCCATTTTTCATATCCATCAAATAAAATGTTTTATTTATTCTTTTTAGTAACCACAGCATATGCATTGTTGCATAATTGTATTTATGTATACATAAATATATATAATATGTATTTACGTATGTATATGCCTTTACAGCTTTACTTTAAAGATTTTTTTTTCAAATTCTTTTAGATATTTATTTTTATTTATTTTTATAGTTGTATTTGTGTTTTTGTTTGTGTAGCCTTTGCATTCTGATAAATACAAATATATGTATATATTTTGCATATACTTTTTGCCAGTTTGTATGTGTTTGCCATACACGTATGTATATATGTATTTGTCTAAATTTCTAATAAATACTGTTATGAGTAAATGGCAATTTATACTACAGTTATTTAAATCAAATATTTATCATTTGTTTTTATGCTCTAACAATATTTAGTAATAAATTTTAACTATGCTTGTTAATAGTAAATTGTATTTATTGTTCTTATATAATGAGTTCACAGTTATTTATTTATTTTATCAAATTGCATTTAAGTATGCTCGTTTACTGTATGCTGTATACATATATGTATGTATGTGTAGATAAAATGAACTATGAACTAATATAACTTTAGTCTATAGTTGATTTTTGTTTTTCAACACTAGAAATTAATTAAATACAAAAAGATGTAAGTACACATACAAGCATACAAGTAAACGCCTTAATTCGTTTTAAGTTTGAAATAGATTTAATTAAGCTAAATAAAAGATTATTTCCTCCAACAGCTTCCCCCAAGCAAGTTTTCATATTTTATTATTAGTAATTTTTAATATAATATATTTAAATATTTTTTTTTTTTAGTATTGTTTATTTTAGTAAAAAATCGTCAAGTCTTATAATTTTTTAAAGAAAATTGATAATTTCTTAAAAATTCTAATTACTGCCTTAATATACAAACTAAATAGTGCACAAAATTCGTAAATGTTCACTCAGTAGCGGCGCGTGAGCAGTTTGAGCAAGTTCACGAGTACTACTTGTGTGTTAGTGATGAGCGCACGTGTGAGCGAAATTGAGCAATTACGAATTTTGTGTGCAATTTTCAGACTTGATAAATATTTGGAAATAATCAATAGTTTACTAATTAAATCGATAAAAAAATGACATATAACAAGAGCGTAAAATTTTAATCACTTATTTTTTTTTCTTTAATACTTCTCTTTCGTTTATCGTTTATTTTTCCCACAATTTACTCACACAAATGAATATAAAACCTTTTTGTATCGTTTTAAAAATATTTGTTTAATAATTTTAATAAAACTTTTTTTTTTAATTCTCTTCAAACAAATACATACATATAAAGAGACTATTAAATTGTTTTGAGTTGCCTGCATCATTTGCATACACACAAATTTGGATATGTTGAAGTTTTTGAAACGCTTTTTAGAGAGCAACGTGTTGTACGAGTATGTTGTTTAAAAAGATAATTATAGTTTTTGTTTTCTATTATTTTTATTTTCTTTAATTATTTTCTACATAAGTTAAAATTTTTCTTTACTTTCTTGTACCTTGTATTCAAAGTTAAAACTTTTGTGGTTGGGCTTACTATTGGATATGTTTGGTATAGTATGATGTCTGCTAAGATGGTGGGTTTTTGCGTTTCAATATCTCAAGTAACTAAGTGCAAAAACAAAATAAAAATATATTTCCTTCTTTTAAACGCATAATTCAAAAGATATTTAATGCTGAGATAAAAAAAAAATCTGAACAAAATTTTTATAACATATGTAAATGTTTACTTCCCGCTTCAGACAATATTTTCAGTTATAAATATGCGTTAAAAAATGGTTTTAAGCCTATGCTGTATCGCTGTTTGAATATACAGTATTTTATGAACTGTTCGCACCAGAGAAAGTTGCACCCTCAATGACTAAATTAAATTAGCTAATCTAAGGTACGGCTCACAATATGGAGATTAATTAACAATTTCTTTATATTTTTATTTTGTTTAACTATTACAAAATATATACACAAACATATTCGGCAAGTATGTATCTTTGTTGTGTCTGTGGCAATAATTTTTTGATATGAAAGGGTGCATAGATAATTCTTCTATAGCGATGATGACTTTTCATCCATAAACTTTTGGAGTAACAAAAAGCAGTTGAGACTTATTTGAAATTCCAGAAAATAAAAATATTTTATACTTTAAAGAAAAATATTACATTAATTGATAAATTCTTTCATATTTTTATTAATCAGGAAATTACTAAAAAAAAAATGTATTTATTATTCGATAAAAAAATTATTCAAACTATCAGACTAATCGTTTAATCAAATATTTCTTGTTTAAGCTAATAAAAGTTGAGATCCCTATGATTCTTTTTTCCAGTCTGAGAGCAGCGCAAGAGCAGCTTGTTTTCAGTGCAAGGCAAATTTATGTTTCGCTCACTGCTTCGTGTTTGAAATGAACTTACCGAAAACTGATTAAGCCGAGTTTACACTTCTTGTTGTCGAAACTCTTACTTATGTTTTCTTATTTGTCGCTGTCGCTTTTTTTTTAGTACAAATCTTTGTAGCTGACTTAAATTTGAAAGAATAAAAATAAAATTTCGAAAGTAAAATAAAAATGGAAGTATAAAGAAGTGCGAAAAAATTGCTACAAAAAGTTTCTCTGAATGAACAATGGATAGCAACATCAAAAAAGAATTTTTTCGCAAAAGACAGACATTTGTTGTACTCGCCATATTCCTAGTATCAATTAAAACGAATCGCGTTCGTTTGGACCAAAAACTAATAAAATTTAGCCTGTAGGCGTAGTGTTTTGGTATACTACTTATGTGTGCTTTTACTTAATTCTTAAACTGTTTTTATATTTTTAATATATATAAAAAACCTTTTAATCCCTTCATTGTACATCTAATGGTGCATTAACTTTGGGCCGAAATATGTATGAAGTAAGTAAGTATCAGAAGGAGAACAGATAGACTCAACAAAATTTATACCAATCAGGTATGAATGTCGTGTTAAGAAGATTTAGCTATTTCAGTCTATTTGTGCGCAAATTAGTGTCTCGGTTCTTGAAATCGGACCACTCATACGACTGATGTTTCAGAATTCGCATTTTAAGTCATAATTTTGCCAAAGAAGCAACTAAAAGCGTGAAATTTGATATTCTGTACTCATATGATGGATTACACATTGGTGCTGAAAGTTATCGAAATCGAAAGACTATAACTCGTAACGCCCACACACCGATTTTTTCAGTCAAAAAAGTATGTATAAGGATGAAACTTGGTTATTGATATATATACACGGTGTGTTCCAAAAATAACCGAACTTTATATTTAAAACATACAACATACAGTGCCATTTATTGAAAATTTCAAACGCACCTAACATCATGTAAGTCGGATGACAGATGTAAAAGTGACAGCCATTTCAATGAAACCAAAACTGTGGTTCAAAAATAAAATGGAACAAAGAGCAAATATAAAATTTTGTGTCAAACTTGAAAAAAAAATGAATGAAAAAAGTTTATTGTGATGATTGTATGAGTCGTACGCAAGTTTATACGTGGTTTACACGATTTAAAAATGGTCGTGAGGATTTAAATGACGACCCTAGAGCAGGACGTCCAGAAACTAGTAATCGTGCTGAACTGGTGGAAAAAGTCCGTGAAATCATTGGTATCGAAGTAAATAGTAAACTACGAGAATGTTGGCTGAGGAATTGAATACGAGTAAAAACACTATTTGGAGAATTTTAACTGAAGATTTGGGAAAAAGAAAGGGCTATGCGCGATTTGTTCCATATGAATTAAATGACGACCAAAAAATCGCTCGAATTTTTAATGAAAAAAGGGATTTCTCTCATCGACCATGCTCCGTATTCGCCAGATCTATCACCATGTGACTATTTTTTATTTCCAAAACTGAAAACCAAGATGATTTTATGATGATATCCCAGCCATTCAAGCAGTCGTAACCGAGGTACTGAAGAACATTTCTATAAATGACCTAAAAAAAATCTATGCATGCACTGCGTTGTGTTGAGTCAAATGGAACCTATTTTGAATAAATAATTACTTTCAAAGATAATATAATGTGTTTTTTATTTTATATCCAAAAAGTTCAGTTATTTTTGCTACCGAAAAGCATCAAAATCGGACGACTGTTACATATAGAGCCCATACAACCATCAATTTGTTCAAATATCAATTGGTTTTAAAGTGAAAAAACTCTTTCAAATAGCTGATATTTTTATTTTGCTGCAGCCCCTCAGAGCGTGCGCTGAGTACATTGAAAATTTTAAACGCGTTTTTCTCAAAATCACATTTTTCAAATTGGGATGACAGATTATTCGGAGTCTACTGTATCGATTTATAAGAACATTTTGTTGGTAGCTTCACAAATACATTTTATTGAAAGAATTTGATTGAATGTAAATTTTTTGTTTAAAAATTTAGTATGTAGTTTTAATGAAAAATTCATCTTTTTAAAAGAAAAAGTGCCGCTTTCACAAAAATTAGTTAAAAAAGTAAATCCGCACGTACTTTCAAACACCATAATTTGTAGATCATAAAACTTTTTACTTTTCTGTTCTATGTCTCATTCCTTAGAAAAAATCGGTTCTCCCGTGTACGCCTTTTGAACAATCATAGATTTAATAATGGTATTTATTACCGTCAGTTTGTAACAAAATAATAATTAAAGAATATTTTTGAAAAATTCAAAGAAATGGTTAAATGGAAATTATATACCTTTTCCCACATTTTTATAATAAATTATAAAAAATTAGTATATTTTCAATCTCTAGAGTGGCTTTACCTCTTAACCCCTTTGACATTCACGTTGCAGAGAGCGAAACTAGTTAGGCGCGACAATCGTGGAAACATGCTGTTAGACAGGATGGAGCTTCACTAAATTATTTAAAACTAACATACATACTTACAATTCTTTTTGTTTTACATATATATGTATTGTATATGTTTTTTTTATAAATTCTCCTACAGACATTTATGTGTAAATATGAATTTTATATGTATGTGTTTTTACGTTTTTTTTTAGTTACATATTCACTATTATTTCAGTTATTATTTTTGTTTATGTAGGTATTATGGTTATATACATAACTTTATAACATTTTTATAGACTTTGAATAAGTGCAACAAATGACAGGCACATTTGTAGAGTATATATTGTAATTGTTTTTGTTGCTTTGGACTGCATGTTGTACAGATTTGTGGATTTAAAAGACAGTTTTATGTTTTATTTTTCTTCTCACCTAAAAAATTGCACTTTTCACACATATTTAATAGAATTCCAATGATCAGACATTTTACGCAGATCCTCCTACTACTCAAAACTAAGATAAGCGCTCTCCGTCAGCTACAAGGTTGAATACCTTGTGATAGCGTAGTCTTTTAGTAGAAAGCTTGCAAGCATACACATACAAATATTACATACATACAAATTTTGTATTAGCTTCTCAGTTAAAATTAAGCCTTTGGCACATTATTGCACACCCTAATGCAAAACATTTTCAGCAAGCACAATTAAATTGAATACTTTTCACGTTTTTTTTTTTCCGCCTACAAATACCACAAAATAGCGTAAAATTGTTGTTCTCCAACGAGTATTCATATTAGTATATAGATAAGTACATACATGCATATGTGTGCAAGAAACCGCAAAAAAAAACTATACTCACACGCAAATCGTAATTGCATTTCGAACAGAACAATTACATTTAACACTGTAATTAGATTTGCCCCCTTCCCCCTTCTCACCACACGCTCACTCACAGTGCAAGCATATATGTATGTATGTATGTATGTATGTAATTATAATTACTTCAAATCAACGCGACCAAATCACAGTATCGTAGTTACCGTAAATGACGCACCATCAGCATTGATACCCTTCTCCGTTTGCACTTTCGTCGTCGTCGTGAAGCTCTCTACGCTCGGCGCTTTACTCAAATCAATTGGCGGTATATCTTCATCGTAGTCTTCTTCATGCTCCGGCTCCACTTGCTCCTCGCCATCCGATTGCTCGGCACGTTGCTTCTTTTCCGTGGCATTCACCATTGGCGCATGAAAGTAGTGTGGTTGTTTTTTGGACGACGATGGTCCTGGCATATAGATAATACCATCATCGGTATCATCATCATCATCGGTGGTGTTGTGTACGGCATTAATATTGGCATGCCGCTGCTGGGCTGCATTGCCATTGACTTGGTAACCGGTGTAACCACCATAGCCAGAATCACTCTGATATGGATTTGATTTGATGTGTGCATTGCGACAGGTGCCACCACAATTATGATGACTCTCCGCATCGCCACCGTTAGCACCATAACATTGGCCACGATGCTCCGAACCGACATCGGTGCCGTGACGTTGTAGTGAATGACCCACCGCACCGTGTTGCCCACTGCCAGAGTGGGCAACTGATTGCTATATGTGTGAGTGGGAGCGTGCTATGGACAATGAGTAGGGGCTGATGTCCTTCTGGATGCGCATGGTGTCGTAAATGGGGAACTCACAGCAGAGTATGAATTTCAATGCGCTCGGCACTTCCACATACACCGACGGTGGTATGGGTATGAGTGGTGATGTTGACGCTTTGTATTTACGATATTCTAGTTGGCTGTTGCATATACGTGTATATATGTATGTGTTGCATTGTGAAATAGGTACAAATAAGAAAGCGATAAATTAAATAGCTAATAAAGTGTACAATATTTATTATTGAATTATTTACTTACTCTTTGTATTTCTCATCGGCTGAACGTTCGCGCAGCGGTATGCCCGATAGGAAGAGTATAATGAAAGTGGTAAAAATGGGCGAAGCAATAGCCACCCATTCGTGACCGGAGATAACGTTTAATGAGATAGCGAAGATACCCCACCAAATTACGACCTCGCCAAAGTAATTGGGATGACGCGATAGACTCCACAGACCTGAAAATGTACATGCACATACATACATACATATGTATAAGCAATGTAGTTAATTAAAAAAATTGCATATAAATGAGCAGGCAATAAGCGCATACATATGTATATACAAATGCGAGGAATACACGTAGTTCACTTACATTTGTAAGCACACATGCATTTACAAAATTACCCGGATGTGCTCTACGAGTACATGTTTACTTAAGTCATACACATGTCCGAATATGGATTTGGTTTTATGATACGAAAATGAATAAAGAATTAGCATAAAACCACTGACTGCGCTTATAAATTAAAGATTGGCACATCCTCATTACCAACGTAAGTAAGAATTCGGTCAGTGGAAAAATAAAATTACAGTGTTTTTCGACTAACACAGAATAATAATAATAACTTGTAGAAAGGTAGTTTTTTTGGGGAAACTCAATTTCCTCGCTGTGGTGAAGATACCAAAAAGGGCAATACAAAAAGAATTATGGAAAAATTCTGCCTTAGTTTTACTCCTTCCTTGTATTCGTCAATATTGAAAACTAAGTTTATTAATAAGTTAGATTAGGACTTTCATAAACCTGTTGATCCTTTGCAGTGCTAGTTGGTGGATTGATTTAAAGCGAGGTGAAGTAGTCAGTAGCGCTTCTGGTTGTTCTCTGAAGCGCGAAGATCTCGGTTATCTAAGAAGTGTTCTAAGTGTTAGCTAGGAGCCCTAAAAAATGAGGGTTTTCAAACTTTTAACCTTATTAATTTGAGCATTTGTGCATATTTTGGAGGAACTTTGAAAAGCAGGTAGCAATTTTTGATTTATAAAAAATAACAGTTGTTGAAGCTGCTACAGCAGATCTGCAGGGACCCCTCCTAGAATAGTCTAAAATGAAAAAATCAAACGGATTTCGTTAAAGTAAATAATCGAAGGAATAAGCCAAACATGTTTTTATTTTACAAAATGGTGACTTCTCAAAAAAAAATTAAATTTTTCTCTAAAATTTTGGTTTTGAATTGCGCATTATGGAAAAACACTGCATCGGTTATGAAAATAAGTACTAGAAAATATTGTTCAGAAACTCTTGTAAAAATTTAAGACTAATTGATTCAGCCGTTCCCGAGAAATCTTGGTCACCGACTTGAAAAACATAGTTTTGAGAAAAACGAGGTTAAAGTTTCGTTTACCGCTTTCAAATGCTGCGACGCGTCGTTACACATACGTCGTTACGTCGGTGCGAATTGAAGTTTTCAGCCAGAATATTTACTTGAGTACATGTACATTATAAAAATGAAAATTAAAAAAATTGAGTTTTTGAAAAAAAAACTGGGTGTTACCCTCTAAATAATGCCGGACAGAAGCAGAGTAAGTCACTTTCTATAAGTTTCACTGTCGCAGCCCTCTAGCAGATCCGTAAGCCATTCAATCACTTTTTCCACTATCTCTCATAAATTTTTATATTATCATTTAATTGACTCTAGCCATGCTGATCTTCGAATTTGCGGTATTTATCTTGATGATTCTCTGACAAACCAAAATACCTACCTAAAATACCAAAGCGAATAAAAACCGAATAACTGAAGATTGAGCATATATGTATGTATGTATGTATAAAATACCAAAGCGAATAAAAACCGAATAACTGAAGATTGAAAAATCCTTGGTCCAAATGTACTATAACTGAGGTGGAGTACTTTAAAGAGGGATAATATATAAATGATACATACATATCTACAAATTTTTTTAATTAAAATTCAATTTATGAAATAGCTGTTATTTTCGAAAACTGGTTTTTATTCCATAGTGATTTTAATCCTAACAAAAGCAACAACTGTCCCTCGTCTATGGAAGTCAAATCAGCTTTTGGGCGGCACTCAAAAATCGTCGAAAAATACACTTTCATCCCAAGCAGAACAGACCTCCGCTGTTTAAGCCTGGCTACCAGAAATAGCTATATGACGCAAATCCCTAAAAAGGTGGAGTAGAACGATGGCTTTGACAAACCAATAAAAAGCATTGAGAAAGATATTCGAAGCTCGATGGGAGAGTTGAGGGCCGTGTTTTCACAAGAAAAATACGTTTTTCAGTCATTACAACATTTTCCAAGCCGAAATGTCCGGTACTGTGAAGTCTGCAAATTACAGCAGACTGTCAAACAGAACGGATTATCTCTTAATTGGGTTCATGATCACAGAAAAATTGACGAAAACTGTATAGCAGAAAGATTGTGGCATGCAAACTACTACTTCAATAATATAATATGAGCAGGCCGATAATTTAAAGGGAATCCCACTGCGAAATGTGTTATATCTGAAGAGCTACTTTTCTTGGTATTTAATCTAAAATAACAGAAGTCAAGGTAATTATCATAGTAAAAGTGGCACGAAGCGGAGGAACAATGAAGCGAATTGATTAACCCAGCACTGCGATATAATCGCGTTGACCTGCTTTGGCATAAGTGTATTGATGTTCCTCGCGAGAGCCATACCTATCTAAACTAGTTTTTACTTTTTAATAAAACCCATAAACGGTCGACATGACTTTTCGATTTTATTAGATTTAACTAAACCCTAGAAATGCATTTTTTACACTTTAAATATATCAATTACGGTTTTCTTGTTCAACCACTTTTTTGACTGGCTATTCATTATTTCGTTTAATTTTTGCAATGTGATAATACAAGTTGAATCCTTCGGGCCTCCCGAAAACGCTACTGACAGATCAAAGATCGATCACACTAGTATCGCTTTCTTTTTTTAATTTCTATTGTTATTGTAATACTTACTTATTGTATTGGATATCTTACCATCATTACAAAATTTTCCTTGATTCGCTGGATCCTGTCGAAATGAAAACTTTTGCAAATCCGCATACGTCTCCGCTAACAAACCCACAATGAACATGCCCGTGCCCGTCGAGTCCAATGTGGTCATAGTCTTTGGAGCATTTGGCTGTGAATGGCGCGGCGAGTTAATGATTATCACTGGTAAGGAGACTATATAAACCCAGACGGCCTATTAAATGGATAGAAATGATAAATAAATATATATATTTTTACATTCATTGAATTAATTTTATTTTATTATTTTTTATATCATTTATTAGACAAATATGTAATAAAATGTATAATCATATTTAGGTTATAGGCAGCGATAAATAATTTTAATAATAGTACCGGAAAATAAAACAAATACTATTAGAGATTGTATTTATGGTCCTGATACTGCAACAGTCAATAATGCAGAATTTCGGTTTCGTCGATTTTGTTCCGGTAATTTTGATATAAAAGACTGGATACACAAAAAAGCTCAATGTATGGGTTCCTCCTGAGTTAACGAAAACAAAACCTCATGGACTGAATTTCTAACTGTAAATCACTGTTGCATCGTAACAAAATCGGCCCATTTATGAATTTAAAAATGAATCACTAACGGCAACATCAAACGGAGATGGTCGTGGCTGAAGGACAGAGAGTCGGCATAAACGGTCTCTCAACCAGGTTTGACGGTTAGAATGATTATGTTGTGTGTTTGGTGGTATTGCCAATGCATCATCTACTATGAGCTGCTTCCCTATGGCCAAACTTTTAATTGGGACCTGCTCCGGCAGCAATTGGAGTGTCTAAAGGAAGCAATCGCCCAGAAGCGCTCAGCTTTGGACAACTGGAGGGGAATTGCATTTTATCTGAACAACACCAGATCACACATATTCTTAGTGACTCGCCAGAAGCTGGTCGAGAGCTTGGCAAATGATTTGGCTGTTGAAGACCTAATAAAATTGTTACTTTGTAACCGCTGAAGAGATTTTCGGCCAAGCACGTGCTTCGAGTTTTGTGGATTTTCCAACAAATAAATGGATGGACCTACAGTTTATTCTAATTTGTCTCCGAACAGCTAATGCATTTTTATAAGGAAGCTGTTAATAACCTATCAGAAATAAGCTCGAAGGGCTTGACATTCCCGACTGAGGGGTGACCACAAAAAGAAAAAAAATATTTTTTATCTTTGTCAGATGTTGGTCGGAGCAGGAATCGTAGTATGTACTGCTAAGCACTCGTCTATTGTGCCGAAAAATAATATTTCCATATTTTTTCCTGCCACTGGCCTAGTATATATATGAGTATAACTTACTTTAATTAAATTTATAAATTTTTCATGAGAAGGCAACTGTCCTTTCCGTCAAGTAATGTCCTTTGGTCAAGTAATGAGTCGACAATTTCCGAAAATACAATGTGAATGATTTTTGGATTATTTATATCCTCATTTATTATGCATTTATGTGAGTATAATGTGTAGCGGTAAAATGTAGTAAACCGCTAGCGTGCGTGCGTACGTGAAAATCCATTCGAATTTTTCCTTGACAGCAACGAGTGGACATATTCCCACATTGACATCGAGAAAAGGAGAGTTATGAATATTAATGGTAAATAGTGGAAATTATATACCATTCTACGCACGTCATGAGCAATAAAATCAATGGCTATTTTCCATTAAAATCGGTATTTATGCGAACTGAGCCATTGAACACTGAGGAGAAAATAATTACACTGTTATAATTGTTAAAACAAAATCAAAGTATTTAAAGATTTAAGGTCAGAACAAGGGTGACACGAGAGAGAGGTCTTACAGTTTTTGAACAAAAAATATTTTAACCAAAAAAGTTCTATTCGAAAATTCCTTCCAATATGTTTTCAAAACACCTTTATTTACTTTTGCACATATATGAAATTCAATAAGTATCTTCAAAAAAAATTCTACGAACCGATGCGCCGACTTACAAAAGATTTGAATACAGTAATTTACTCACGTAGGAATCAAGTAATCTGGTGTCCCTGATTGACCAGATATTCACAGTGCACCAAATATTGGAAATGATCTGGGAGAGAAAAATCGGTTCACCCCACCTCTTTGTGAATCTTTGTGAATCTTAAAGCAAAGCAGAACTGCGGTTGATCAATATCAAAAGTATAAAAAGAGTTCGAAATTATCTCTTTGAGTCGTTGTTCCAAAGCAAATTTCAGGCAAAGGGCAAATAGAGAAATTGTCTTTAAAGAAATGTGCCACGTCACTGTTGACAATCACAATTCAAGCAAATATTAAGTATAGACACCAACAACACCAACAATAGAGATAACTTTGGAATCCAACGCAGAATTACTCACGCCCACAGGTGCATATTTACACTGAGTAGAGAATTGAGAAGTAAAGTTCTTCTTCAACCAATAAAAAAATGTATAAATCCCTCACCATTTCTGTTCTGTCATTAATGCAGAAGTGTGGACTATAACGAGATCTCGCTTAGGATTTTCGAGAGAAAGGTCTTTCGGATGATTTTTGTTCCAAATTGCGAAATATATACGACGAATACGGCAGTCGATGGAACGATTAGCTATACAAGTTGTACAGAAAAGTTGACATAGGTCAACAATTACGCTGGCTAGGTCATATTGTACAAATGCAGCTTTGAAAGTATTCAATGCAGTAAGCGCCGGTGAAAGCAGAGAAAAAAGGACACACACAACTTCATTGAAAACCTGATATGGCTTGAATTGGTATCTTCAAACGGCGAAAGGAAGAAACAACTAGACTAGAGCTAAGCGGTGTTCTCGTTATGAAGAATAAGAAGACAAATTTTAGAGAGCGGGTTTCAAATTATCCTTAGTTAACCCCAACTTCAACGATTATTTAAAAAAAAAGTTCGAAATGTCGTTAGAGTATATTAAAGTGTTAATGAAAAACTATTATTTTTTAAAGACTGATAGTAATTTTTTTAGTTTTCGGTTAATTTTTCTAATTGACGTCTTTCTGACATGAAATAAGGGCTCCTCAAGAAAACACAGTCAGACGTCCGGAGACCTCTTAGTATAAATTCATACATTTGTTGAAAAAACATCAAGTTGAGCTCGACCAAAAATCTCTAATTTTTTACAGAGTCTTTTTGCGAAGAACTTTAAAGTGTTAAAAGCGCCAATTTCCGTAAAATTTTGCCATATAAGACGTAATGTTTACACTTTATAACAACTTAGGTCGAGAAGAGAAGAAGAACTTTGGTTAATTTACCAAAAATTGTGTATTTTTCTGGGGGGAGATTTTATCATTAAAATTGGTGATTAGAATTAACCACATATCTCTTTAAAACTTATTGTCTCATCCTCGTAAAATTATTTCAATGACGTGGAATACCATAAAAATGTCACGCAAAAACTATTGAAGCGTGTGGTCATAAAACCACTACGTATATATATATATATATACATGTGCTTGTATTGACGTGCATATTGGCATTAGTTTGTATCAATAACCAATGTAAATACCTTCCATATGCCTAGCATAAGCAGAATCTCACTCTTTTAACGTGGATGTATACATAAAAATTATATTGCATATATGTATGTATTCTAATTATATATGCATTATTTTGTGTAAATAATAGAGGACGCTTCTAAAAATGGTAATCACTCCCCAATCAATCTCATTCGTCGACATTTATTAACTTTTAAATAATTTGTAACAAAAAACTTTTAATCAAAATCGCATATTTCGTGAAGGTTAAAGGGCGTATAATAAATTTGAAGGTTATAAAAGCAGTCGTGTAAGAATAAATGTGCGCTTGGTATTTGTTTTTTATAAAATAAAGCAGAGTAACAGCATGTAATAAGCCGTAGAGGAAGAGTAGCATACAGTACTTTCAGACGCTTGCATACATTTGTGCTCACCTGAAATGTCCAGAAAACAGCATATCTGATTATATTCCGTCTTGTATCTTCAAACTGTTTATCACGTCCCAATTTTATAATACGATAAAGCAGATAACCCGAGAGACGCGCACCCCAAAGACAAACAAATAGGGTGACCATAAGTTGGCGACTGTCGTAGGCCTGTAAGGAGTTAGAGATATAATAAATATTATCAATTTTATTTCTATGAAGAATAAAAGTATTTTCTAACTTATTAAAAAGTTTAACGTAAATTTGTGTACATATACATACTCATAATAATATTAATAATAATAAAAGTAATAATAATAATAAGAATAATAAAAGTAATAACAAGAGTGAAACTATGCAAAAGTAAAATATTGAAAAATGAAGAAAAAATCTATTTCACTTTATTATCTTTTTTTTTGCCTCTCTGAGAGTTTCGAAAGGGTCTGGTGGTGATCGAGACAAGACAAGTCGAAATAACTGCAGTCATCAAACAGAGAGACATCGAGATCAAGGCTCGACTCCAAGGTCAATGTTAAGAGTCATCACTTTGAAGACCTAAATAATTTAATTTCCATTTTGGAATAATCATTAATCTCAACAACAATTCCAGCCGACGTAAAATCATTATATTGAAAAGATGTCCTTTGAACTGAGTAGGCAGTTGAAACGAAATCTCCGATTTGCAAACAAAAAACAAATTCTATAAGTCGCTCATCATTACCGTACTGCAATATGATGCGCACGTATGCACTTTTCGAGGTAAAAGTTTTGCGTATGATTTATGGTTCTCAGCACATTTTGAACGGCAAATACCACAACCGATGGAACGATAAGCTGTACGAGTTTTACGAGTACGACTACGTAGGTATTGATAGCAATGCATCAGCTTTGAAATTTTTACCTACCGATGGAAGCAGATGAATAGGAAGTCCTCAATTTCGTTAGAAAAATCAGTTGGAGAAGGATTTGGCGGCAAAATTCAGTATTTCCAATTGGCGTCAAAGAGCGAAAAGCAGTAGGGAATGTTGCTATAATAGCGTAAGCTATGTCTACACTATTAAAGAAGGATGATAAGATTTAATTGGTCTTTTATGTATTTAATTTATCGTTATTCGAGCTTCGTTGTAGTGAGGTAATATAACATCTACTTCATCATCATCATTGTTAATTCGATTCGATTATCTCCAGATGGTCTCTTAACAGTCTGTAAGTCGCCGCAAGTTTTTATAAAATTTTCGGCAATTTATTCTGTCTGTAAGTATTTTCAGCTCTTCTTACTCATATATTTCGGCTTCTGTTTTTTAAATAAGAAACTTGAAATACTATTCCACAATTTCCTTATTTTATTGATTTCATTGGAGTTTTTTGATGTCGAACTTTCATTGTATTTGTTGGTAGGTGTTTTTTTCTGCAGGCAAGTTAAGTTTAGACCCACTAAATGGTGGCATATCTTGAGCACCGCAGACATGTCTTCCTTCTATCACAATATGATTGATTTGGTTTCTTGATTTATGATCCTGAGAAACCAAAGTAGCTTAATAAATTTTTTTGGTATGTAGTCTTGTTCTGCAGACCCGGAAATATGGGCCCTGCAAAGTTGATCAGCCTCAACTCATGTTTGATTCGTCATGTCATGGAGGCGGAATTTTTCGGTTGCTGCGGGAAAGAACAAGTTTTGAAATTATGTACCAGAAGCTCGCAAAAGGCATTTTTGTTTACATCCTTCTTCTCTTCCTTCTGAGCGGTAAGTTGGAAAACCCTGTTTTGATGGGTTGCGGAGTCTCTCTAACCACAAATTTAATACCAAATTTTGCGCTCCTTTATATAGCCGCTATAGTAGATTTATCAAGGACCTATCTTCTTCTTTTACTCTTTTTATTTACGACGCACCCAATGTTACCCACCTCCCGGCCATTTGACCGATGGGCGCGTCTGAAGGATAAACGGAAAATCAATAGACCGGTGACCGAAAACAGATTTGCCTTCAACTCTTGACACCTATAGGGAAAAGTCACGGCTGCGCTTCATGGACGTCAGTGATGTTAACCTAAATTTTTACAAGGACTTCGATTTCGCCACTTGAGAAACCTTCTAACATATGACCGCTTGAAAACACTTAGATTTTATGTAATTTTTAAAAAAAAATTATATATATTCTGCTCATAACTATGTCATACATAAATAGAAATAAAAAATTTTAATATCGAGCTAATCATAAGAATATACAATAAATGTATAAGAGGGGCAGGGGCGTATGAGTAACTTTTTGATGCGTCACTAGAATGGAGTGCATAGTACGAGGAGTTCTATACTCATTCGATATTCGTTTATTAATCAACTGCACGAGTCTTTAAAGAATTAGAGCAGTAGAATAGCAGTAGCAAAAAATTTCTTAACTAACGAAACTATAGGGTTGCCACAAAAGAAACCGGTGATTTTTCATACAGACAGCGTTGACAATTTTTTTGAACAGCTTGTGACTCTTTAATTATATTTTTTCTTTTGACAGTTATAAGCTGACACTTTTAGCTTGCTTTAGAAGAAAGTACGCGTAATTTTTTTATACTTGTTTGTCTGGCGTCAATTTTAATACGGAACATTTTCACGATATTTTATTATATTATTACCGTACGGAAAAAAGTTGCATAATTCGTATGCTGAAAAGACCTTAAAAGAAACACAGTGAACTTGGACATTGGTTTGTCAAATTCTATTCGGCAGATTCTTCACTTAAAGATAAGCCACGTTCAGGACGGCTAAGTGAAGTTGCTGATCATGATATCAAGACTTTAATTGAATAGGAACGTCATGTAAATGAACATGAGATTGGAAAGAAGTTAAGTATACCAAATTAACAATTCATGATCATATGCGACGTCTTGGACTTTTAGAAAAAACTTGAAATTTGGGCACCACTTGAATTGAAAGAAATTCATTTAACAAGCTGCTTCAACGCTTCTTATATGCATCTTAAACGCAATTAATATAATCCATTTTTGAGCAAAATCATAATTAGTGATAAAAAATGGATTATTGACAATAACGTCAAGCTTCATGAAGCACCACAAGCCACTTCAGAGGCTGATTTTCACCAAAAGAAGAGAATGCTGTCAGTTTGGTAGGATTGGAAGGGTGGGGTATATATTGAACTGCTTTCAAGGAACCAAACGATTAAATCGGATGTCTACTGTAAACGACTGGACAAACTGAATATATCCATCATCGTAAGGGTATCATATTCCACGAGGACAATGCTAAATCGCACATTGATCACTCGCCAAAAATTGAAAGAGCTTGACTGGGTGCTATTGACGCATCCACCATATAGCCGTAACCTTGCACCGTCAGACCATCATTTGTTTCGATATTCACAGAACTCATTAAATGGTAAAATGAAAATGCCGGAAAAGATGGCCAAGGATCATCCAACAGAATGGAAATTTCATAATTGATTAAAGTCCATTATCAAATTCAAAAAAAAAATGTATTTACTTTATTTTAAAAAATCGCCAGTTGTTTTGGGGGCAACCAATATATGTGGAAGTAATTGTAGAGCGCCTTGCGGGTTAGGAGCTCAAGAATTTACCCGCGGTAAGGCGTAAGAGGTGACTAAAATCCAATAGTTCCCGCTACAGTCGGGTCTTCATACCGGAACGACCCTGATTTTTATCCAGCCAAGGACTTTCACTCCCGCAACATTCCCCAAAAAGTACTTTGGGGAATAATTTTGCGGTTACAACAACAACAACAACAAAGTAATTGTAGAATTTTGTTGATATAAGAAATAAATTTTCTATTATAAATTATTTTAAAAATATTTAGTTTCAAGGTTAGAATTAATAAAAGATTACAACATCATTTAGATAATAGGACCTTCCATAAAGAAATAAATTCATTTAAACTTTTTTACCTTTATCCCTAATACAATTTTTTCTTGGCATGAAAATTGCTACATTCAAATCGACATATATATTAGTACTACTTGCTAACTTTTACTAAATGTTAGCATTCGTGTTACTAACTGCAGGTTCAAGTTTAAAGCTGTGCAAAGCACGTGCACCTGAATTATTCATATCAATGCATTTATTTATAAATGTAGTCAATACTCCACTATATTGCCTGCGCCTAGAAGTATGTATGTATGTCAATCATGTCAATCATAGCTGCACGCTGGTTGGCAACTCATACCACAACTCTAATATTAACCAAATTACGGTTATTGATATCGACGTAAATTGTATTGTGCGCTGCCATTTGCAGCAATTTCCCAAAAGTCTTTATCCGACAAATGTACATATTAATAGCGAAACTAGAATTAAAGTCAACGTATTAAGGGTGTTCTAATAATGCCTTATAACTTTTAGATATGATTGTGTATATTTTATTGAAAAACTAATAATAATACTGCGCGCAAAGAGTCTAAATGACTAACTGTCTTTTCTTTAGATGTTTGAAGCAAAATTTTAGTTCTTTTTTTTTGGTGTAATTTAACTAGTTTTAAAATATCTTATTTAGAATAGTAATTGAATATGGAAGTGTTTATAAAATTTTAAATAAAAATACTTGTACTTATATATATATTTTTCCCCCATTTTCACACCACTTAATTCCATATATTTTAAAAGACAAACACACCTTCCCCAACACTGAACGGTGTACCCTTTCAGAAAAAATTACAAAAGCAATTTCACTATTATAATAACAGAAAGCATACTAAAGTTGGCGGCTAAGTGCAAATGGTTGAGTTTAAAACTGATTTACACACAGCTAAGAGTATAAATTTTTATACGTACATACATGCATACAGATAAACTGATATTTTTGTATCAACATCGCATGTGTAATGCAACCGCAATGAAGACCATTGCCGAGACAGCCTTATTTTAAAATAAGAATTGTACGTCACGAATATGTGTGTACACACAAACACACTTCTACTTTCACACACACACACACACACACAAAAGCACATTCTCGTGGGAATTTGAACAGGTGCATTTAATCTGAAGTTGTACGGTAGTAAAACGGAAGAGCAAATAAAAGAAACCTTTTTCTCTTCAACCTTCGCACTTACAAATAGTGTAATGTTAAGGAGATGAATGTCATGAAAGCTTTAGTTGTCGAACGACTAGTTTTCAAGGGATCCACTTTGAATGAATTTTAGAAGTACT